CGTGTGTGTGTGTGTGCGCGCGCGCGTGTGTGGTGTGTGCATGTGTGAGCGTGCAAGCTGTTCTTGAGCAGACGTTGTTCCAAGGCAAGCCGTGTGGACGCTGCAAAACCCTGCCGTGCCTTCCGAACGCACCTCCGCTCCCCCTCGACCCCGCCTCCCCTCCTCAGGTCCAGCCGCACGCGGCCCCCCGCCCCAGCAGGCCCTGTCATCTGAGCAGCACCCCGCCCGCACCTGGCCCGGGACCTCGCCACGTCATCGCGCTCCCGCAGCAGCTCCCCCGCCAGCTCATCCCTTGAGGGCGGTTCGCATGGTGATGACGATTCGAGGACGCCGCCGCAGCACAGGGGTCAGCTCATGCGGCGTCGAGCGGCCGGGGCGGCAGGGCCGCCAGGCTCTGCCGCCCCGGGCTTGCGGCTGAGAGCGCGGCGGCTCGCGCCTGCCCCCTCAGCGTCGTGCAACACCCCGCGCACCCCCACGGGCACGCCCCCATCACTCTGCCGACTCCTGATCCTCAAGCAACACACGGGGCGCCCTCCTCCAAGACCCCCTCAAAAAAACGCCGTAGATAGTCCTTGAACCCGTCCCCCCTGCCTGCTTGGTTCTGGCGGCGCCCACCTGTATAGCGCCGCGATGAGGTGCTGCTGCATGCCCCGCTGGCTGTGGTGCACCAGGTGGCGCATGAGGCACTTGGGCACCATGTCCGCCAGGTTGTGGCGGACGATGTCGAAATAGGATGACACCAGCAGGCGGATGACCTCCACCTGGGGTGGGGAAGAGGGGGGGTTGGAGTGCCATGTGTGTCATGTGTGTGTGTGGGTGTGAGGAATTTGTTTGTGAGGTGTGCGGATGTGTTGTCGCGTGTGACACGTGTGTGTGTGTGTGTGTTGTGTGTGACACGTGTGTGTGTGTGTGTGTGTGTGTGTGTGTGTGTGTGTGTGTGTGTGCGCGCATGGGTTGATGCAAAGAACGGCGCGCAGATCAATCATCCCGTGTGCGCGCAGGACCACGCACGCATGAGCAGCAAGGGGCGCGCGCTGCGATCTGCCACCATGCAGCAACCCACAGCAACACCAGCCACCCAAACCGTGCCCGGGGTCAACATCAGCGCGGCCACATGACCGGCTTGCGCGTGCACGCGCCCCACCTGCACCTCCTCCTGCTCGCTCCTCGGCTTGCCCGCGCGCGACGACTCCAAGGAATGGTCCAGCAGGGCGTTGGCCTGCCGCTGCGCCGCCGACGCGCCGCCGCCGCCGCCGGCGCCGGTGTCGCCCTTGGTGAGCCACCCGAACCAGCTGCGTTGGTTTGTGCAGGTTTGCAGGGTTTGCAGGGTTGGCAGGGTTGGCAGGGTTGGCAAGGCTGATGAGCTTGGCAACTTGCAGGAATCAGATTGAGGCAGACAAGAGCCACGCCGCTGCGGCAAGGCTCGGAAAGGGGGGTTTAGCGAAATCAGGCTGCAGCAGGGGCGTGCCGTGCAGGCCACCCGAGCGAGCTGGGAGGCGTTGAGAGTGTGTGTGTTGAAACATGAATTGACAGGGGGGACTCACTTACCCACAATCAGGGTTTGCACCCAGGGGGGGAGAAGGGCAGGGCCAGGCCATGGTGGGAGTCGTGGCCCGCAGGCCGGCAAACAGCAGGGCGTGGTCGCTGTGCTGCACCAGGCAACAAGGGGTATCACAGCGCACCGGTCGTTTAACGTGCATCACGTTGGAAGAGGGGTCGCAGCAGTTGAGAAGAAGGCCCCCTCCGCCCTGCGCATGTGTGCAGGCACACGCCCTCCCCGAGACCCATACAAACACACACACACACACACACACACACACACACACACACACCTGAGGGGGCTCTGCTGCTGCTGCTGCTGCTGCTGGTGGTGGTGGTGGCCGTTGGCGGCAGCCCCGCCGCCGCCCCAGCCGTCGTCGTCGCGGCTGCCCGGCGTGCCCACGCGGCCGCCGCGGCTGGGGGTCGGGGGATTGCAGGCAAAGGGAGGATCGTTGACAAAGGCCAACACGGCACTACGTCTATTCACACAAGTAGCAAGTGTTTTGGCTCAAAGTGAAGGTTGCAAGCGGTGTCTGCCTGGGTGCTGTGTTTGGCCGCGTCTCCCACCGGCCACCGACCTGACGAGGATGGTGTCGTCTGCAGCGCCGCCCCCCAGCACGCCGCCGCCAGACGCGCCGTCGTGGAGGCCCTTGAGGCCGGAGGGCGCCTCCCAGCCGATGGCCAGCCGGCCCCCGGCGCCGGGCGCGGCTGCGCCGGGGGGTGCGCCGGCGCGGCTCTCGAGGATGTTGCCGGCGGACTTGGCTTTGGATATGTGGTCGGGCTGGCAGGGGTGGGGGTTGCATAGAAGTTGCATGTGTGTGTGTGGGGG